AATTATTCCTTTGTTCTTTGTTTGAGGATGGATTTTTAGGACTAGACCATCCTGGATGAGCATGAGTGAGCTGACCGACTTCCGTTTCTGGTATGGGGGCCTTGTGATTGCTGCTCGGGATTGGCAAGGGCAGGCATCTCCTATTGGGGTTTGCATATTGTTCTGCATCGGATAGGGGCAAACCAGGGCAGGAGCCCCTGAGGTCCTGCCTGCTCATTTCCGACTTGGTCTATTCTTAGCCCTTGACACAAGGGGTTGGCTGTGTGCAGGGGGAACTCCTACGGTGTCCGTCTGCTGCCCTCAGGAGCTGCCATTTATAGGACTCCAGACCTTTGGCTCCAGAACATACCAACCTCGTCCTGCCAGCCACTGCAGAAGAAGGTGCAGGGAGGAAGGAGGCACAGCTCCTTCCCAGGAGGAGGGGAAGCAGCAGATGATGCCCAGGAGAGTCAAGTAAGGCAGACAGAACCAGGTGGGCAGAGGAAGAAAGCTGCAGGCAGATGAAGGCAGTGCCCTTGTCTTTTGATATTTGGCCAATAGCATAAGATGCAGTGTTTTGAGCAAGAAATGAAACCTTTAAAATAGCTAAGGATGGGCAAAAAAAGAGGCTTAGGTGGCCACTTTAGGAAATAAGACTAAGCATCATCTTTTTCCCAGGGAGAGGCTTCAAAAAAGATCTCTGAGTGGGCAGGGTGGCCTTTTCACAGGTTTTGAAACAGATAGGCACACACTGATTTAGGGTGCTCTGGGGCAGTCCTCCTATGAGTTTATGGTTTTGTAGCCTGCAATAGGCTGACCACCGCCATTTCCACGTCCAGGAGGCCGAGCTGTGAATGAGAACGGAACGTGGCTTATCTGGACGGAATGTCTGTTTCTGTGCGCCCTGTGTGACTGTCGTGTCTGTATGTTGGTGGCCAGTGTCAGATGAGGAGATGGTGATCAGACTTTAACCTTGAGCAATTTCCCATCTTTGTCCATTTCACATATGTCTGAACTCTCATAAAAAAGCTGATGTTGATTTAGATTCACTTCCTACAGGACACCCGTGTGTGCGTCACGAGGAAGGTGGTGGGACAGAATCTAGGAACCAATCAACGTTTGAGGCCAAATGAACAGAACTAACTGGCCCCTGTAAGGCAGGTCGGGCCCCCTGGGGGCTGGGTCTGCCCTCTGCAGCCCCCTCTTTCCCCTCAAGCAGAGGCTCTCCCTCGTCTCCCCTGAGCCCCTTGAGATTTTTCCTGGCCATTTTCTGGTCTACACTGGGAATCAGGAGAATTTCATTGCAATGAGCCTTCTTCCCTTCACACTCTCCAAACATAGATTTCCCCTTCCCCATGCCAAATCTGGTGATGTTATTTTAATATTTTTCAGTTTGGCAAAGAAATCACAGATTTTAGTATTTTGATAAGACAATCAAGTGAACATGCACAAGGAGTGCATCCTTCCTGAAGACCAACCACCCGGAGCTGCTGTCACCACACAACAGAGGCCTCGAAAGGGCTCCATTTGAGTAAGAAGCCACTTTCCTTGGCAAAGACAATGCCATCACATGTGCCAAGTGAATGCTAGGGGACCGCCTCCTCAGCCGAGAGCTGGGAGCAGGAATATGACCAGCCTTCTTTAGTTTGGGACCTGACACCCTTTCTTCCAGCCCAAAGGCTCAGAGCCTGCACACTGCCGTCCTTTTCATCCCTGTTTCCTAGATAATGGAGAAAGAACATTTTGCTGCAGTCTGGGAGCAACAGGATCCGGGGCTCATTAGAGCTCCCCCAACCTCCAGGAGCAAGAAGCAGAGCAGAAAGGGAAAGAGGAAGAAAGCTTCCTCCATCGGGCTTATCAACACAGTGAGCAGAGTCTCGGTGGGTGCATACAGGGCGTCTATGCCCATTTAGAGGGCTGGACAAGATCAGCGTCAAAAACCTCTTCTTCGGCCCCTGCGACTCTGTGAGAGGGGGAGAAAGGAGAGGGAGAATGGAGAGAATGATGTCATTCGGTGCTTTTTAAGAACCCATAGGTTTTTCTCTCCAAGAATTTAAGGCTGCTATTGGGACAGGGTCTGATGCCTCCAGCAGGACAGGCCATTTGGCTGGTGGAATCACCCTCAGGACTACAGACCAGACAGGTATTTGTATTCTTTCAAACCTCCCTGAGACTCAAAGGGGTGTGGCTACTGAGGGGATGGGGTAGGTCCCTGGGTGTCTTAGGTGATTTTGTGCCCGGGGAGTGGAGTGGAGGAGTTGTGGAGAGATGGAGAAGCCCCTGAGCTATCAGGAAGCGTTGTCTCTCCTGTCCAAAGAGGGACGGGACCTGTCGGCAGCGTCGGCCACCGAGAGAGGGAGTCTGACCCCCACAGCGCCCCCAGTTCCCAGCCTGTTTAGACAAGGCTGACCCTGCCAAGCAAGGAGAACTTTCTGAAGACAGAGTGGAAGAGCATGTTGGAGAAATGAGAAACTCTGGGGCTGGGTAAGGTCAGTGGGGGATCATCCAATGAATTTAAATCCTCTTAGTTCTCATTCACCTGTAACATGAGCTCAGAGGACACCGCCTCGACGCTGCGGGGACCAAGGTTTCCTTTCTTGAAGGGGCCCAAGAAGAGGCAGACCTACCGAGCAAGGGAGAAACAGCTTGCAGAAATGATGCTAACAAAATCAACCCGATGTTAGAGATGCCACCATGTCTCTGAGAAGGAAAAGAAGGACTAGATTGTCAACGGGGGAGCTGTAGGCAGCTTTGACGGGGGTGCAATGAGGAAAGAGAGAGTCTCCGAGTTTATTCTTTAGCTCCCGGTACAGTGTGCTTATCTTCTACCAGACCTAAATATTGAGCCTTGTTAATTAGCTTTCATTAGGAGTTCCTGGGCAAAAAGTGAGCCCAGGGATTTTTTTTAAAAAAAAATCATAAAGCGTCCCCTCAGGGAGCAGCCAGGGCACCATGGCTTGCTGCCTCAGTGCCCGTAATGGTTTGTCAGGGGTCAGCTTGATTAACTGGGGTGGGATTCCTGGAGGTGGGCTGAGGCCCTCGCTTCTCATGGGAGTGACAAGACACCTGAACACTCTCTTCATGTTTCCCTGGCTCCCACGATCTTTACTTCTTTCTTGAGTTCCTTTTCCTGTCTCTTTGCAAAACCGGAGTTCTCTGCCAGTGCTCACAGATGCATGTCTTCACCCTTAGGAAAGGCCATGGCACAACTGAAGGCGTGGACAATAACGGCAGGAAGCAGGGCGCCCTCCTGTCTGAGTCCTACGGAGCCCAGTCCAACCCCCATGGAAAGAAAGGCTTCCTGAAACATCCTGTGGTCTTCTCCTCTGTTCCCAGTGGCTAAGGCGCCCCAAGGGCCCTCCCTGAGTCACCCCAACTTTGGGTGCTCCAGGTCAACGGACATCAGCCGTTTTCTCAGTTGCATGAAACACACACGCATGCACACACACACCCCACACACAAGTGCGTACACACCGGATGTGTTTTAGTAAAACAGAGGTGGCAAATCAAAGTCTGTGACTGCCGCGAAATGAAAAAAAGAAAGGAACTAAAGCTAAGAACGGATGAACAAGCCGAAGTGGCCGAGGTCCCAGAGGGATGCACCAGGGACAGCGTCAAGGACCGCTCTGGTGGCGGACACCCGAAGCGCTGAGGCAGATGAGAGCTGGGACCCCAGCAAGCAGGGAGGATGCGGAGAGCCCCCTCAAATGGCCTCACCTCCTCTGGCCTCTGCAGAGTAAGCAGTGAGCTAAGCCCTTGGTAGGGAAGCAGAATAGAAAAGAAAAGCACCTCTGACCAGACTGGAACTCCCAATTTGCCGCCGAGGGGCCTGGGCCCTTGGCGGGCGGGGACTGGCCAGCAGGGTCCTCCCGGGGCCTGGTGTGCTGTGTGCGGAGTGCTTCCTGGGCCTGGACGCGCCCTCCTGCCCCTCCTCGGCCCTCCTGCCCGTGCCAGGGGCCCACAGGGGACACTTCGGCAAGGGACGGGGCAGGACGGCACTGCAAACCTAGTCATCATCAAGGAAATCAGAGAGGATCTGGTTTTACAACCCAACTGACGTTTAAAACTTGTGGGTTTTTTTCCCGTTTTGTTTTTTACAGATTTAGATAAACAATGAAGGGAGGGAGGAGAAGCCTCTTTGAATAATATATTTTTTTAAAAAAAATCCACAAACATAAAAAAAAAAAGGTCCTCAGTTTTTGAACTTCTCTTAAGAGTAGCTCAATGTGAGGCCTTGCACCCTAAACAGTTATATCTGGAATTGAGAAAAAAATCACAGCTACACACAACAAAGACTAACAGTAATTTTACTTAAAAATATTGTGTGTATATATAGAGAGACTTGTGTATATATATATGTATATATATATATATATATATCTTTTTTGTGGAGATTTTTTTCCTTTTGTGATTTTTTTCTTTTCCTTTTTTTGTTTTTGTTTTTTTGTGCCCAAGTAGAGAGATGATGGGATTGAAACGATGCCCTAAAACAAAATATTCCATACAGGAGCAATACTTTGAAAAATAACGTTTAAAAAATGGTTTGAACATACTTGCAACACCTTGAGAAATTCAACTTGGTACAATGAGAAAATAAATAATTGAATCAAACCTTCACCCGAATGACACGCCTTCTAAGACCCAGAGTATGCTGCTGGCGTGTCTTGCCATCAGACCGCAACTCAGGATCAAGCACCATCCCCTCCCCAGCTTCCCAGCCCCTTACACTTGACCTTAGCCATACCCAGAATCTGTCGTATATCGCTTTTTCTACATTTCTGGCAAGACCTTGCAGCAGACACACACACACACAAACACACGTAAACACACACACGCACACACACACGTGCGTGTGTGTGCATTATGGGCACACACAGACACACACATACACATGCAACACACACAGAATTCCCCACTCAACCCAGATGCACCAAGTGAGCTGAATGACTTTCAGCCAACCACAATGGTGAAAGACAGAAGCACCAAACAGTCTTTGAAATGGGTAGGTTATTACAATTTGATTTTTTTTTTATGTTCTAATTTTCCTCTTTGTGTTAACTATTTTTAAAAAGCACAAATGAAAAAATGAATTCTTTCCAGATCAATTTAAGGCTTCCCACCAAATGGAAACAGAAGAGGCCTTACCCAATATCACATGTGATAAATGTATACCTTTCACGGCCTTAAAATGACAGAACAGATCATTTTTGCCAGTCACTGATTAAGTATTGTGCCTTTAAATTGATGTCATTCTTTTTGCTACTATGCTGAGTTTTATTATTACTGATTCTCTTTGATGATGTATATGGAAATCTCCTTTAATTTGCTTTAGAATTTCCTATTCTTATCGAATTATTAGGGTGGCTTTTGTTTTATTTTGTTTTTTTTCTGTTTTGCTTTTCACCAGGAAACAGATGTGATTCTTACTAGGTGAACACTGAAATGGCACCTAGTTGGCCTTCAAGGAGCTCTGCCAACCATCTGAGTTTCAAATGGCCTTTTGGCTCCTAGAAGGGGCTGAGAAGTTGGGGGCAGGGACAGGAGGAGAGGAAGAGAAAGCAAAAAGAGGGAGGGGTTTCAATGCTTTTGCTTTTGGTCAATTTGTTTTCTTCAATACAAATAATCAGATAGGAAGAATGATTGCTTTGAGTTTTACCCATTGGTTGGTTTTTTTTGTTTCGTTTCTAGATTGGTTTCATTTGATTGTTTAATTTTCCCTCTCTCGGTGCAAAAAACCACCAGAGAGTTTTGCATGAGGAAACGTAACAGTACTTAATGAAACTCAGCACCTAAGGGCATAAGGCAGTTGAAGGTTTTGTTTGTTTGTTTTGTTTTGTTTTGTTCTTTCAATCAGCACCAATCCCGGAAATGATCTACACTTGGTGTAAGGTATAAAACTTTGTTTTTTTTTTTCTTTTGGAGTGGAGACAACTGCTCCTTCTCCACCCTATAAACCATAGTGTGGGATTTTTTTTTCAATACTGTTACTTATGTGTAAAAAACAAAAGAAAGGTTCTCTTTTTGTTTTTACTTACAAAACATAGAGAATATCTTTGTATACATACAGCGACTGGAAAGAAAGCTTATCTGAAGGGGTTGTGACTTATTATTTTCTTTTTTTTTTGGAGCATTGGTGGTGGTGTGGTGGTGGTGTGGTGGTTCTGTGTTTGGGGGAAGGGAGGGTTATATTTCTTGCAGGCGGCTTTACCGCAAACCAAACTTCAGGTCCCCTTCTCAACGTGGGTCAGGATGCTCTCAGAGTGAAGACTCATACTGTAGCAGCTCATAAAGGAGCGGTCCATCCCGATACCGGATGCCCACCGCGGTGGGTGTGACATACTGCAGAATATTAATAGTCCTTCTCAACCTCCTGTCTACAAAATGAGCATCCCAAGCTGGGTATCTCTTTCTTGGCATGTCAATCTTAATGAGGGGCCCTTCTGGGAGGTAAGGACGCCCCGTCGGGGTAGGGGGCCCCATGGGTCTCACTTGGAACACGGGCAAGCAAGTGTCAGCCGTGAGATCCTCCTGTTGTTCCGTTACGGCTCTGGTAGGCGTGACCTGGGTCCCCCGGTACCCAGGGGTCTGAGGCGCCATGGGCTCAACATCGGGGGGCAAAGGGATGCCCCAGAGCAGCTCGGCACAACAGGAGCTGGCCAAGATCTTAATTCGCGGCCCCATGGGATGCAGCACACCATAATATAAGAGCATCAGTGCGATCCCAGCCACGAAGCTAATAAAGACACAACACAGTGCTGGCACCGCATAGTAGTCAGTGGTCTCTGGGTTTCTGTAAAAATACCAAAGGAACGTCAAGGCAGCATTCTCGGTCAAGACTATCGTGTAATAGGCAAACATTCGGTATCGAGTCCGCCCTTCCTTGACGTTAAACCAGCAGAAAATGTACACAATCCCTACCACCATGTTGAAGAGGATCTCCTCCCACTTGGACATGCAGAAGTCTGTTCCGCCATGGATGATCCAGAAGGCCATGGCGCACCAGTGGACCACCACGAAGATCCCGAAGTAGAGCTGGAAGATGGAAGCAAAGAGGGCAAAAGAGATAACTCTGGATGAGATGGTGAAGAGGCGCCAGAAGAGGTGGATGAGGGCCCCTCTGTAGCTCATGCTCTTCTTGTCGTCCCTGGAGTCCCGCAGCAGCTTGTGATAGGAGGCTAGCACCCAAGCCAGGGACATCAGGGAAGTCACAGAGGAGACACCTGCCGGAAAGACACAAACCCACACCGTCAAAACCGGGGCCGTCCACTGCCGGGCCCTGCAGGGCTGCCGGGCCAGGGAGACGCCCCCACACACATGCGCACACACGCTGCCATCTGATGGAGGAGGGGGAAGAAAAAGCACCAGGAGCCAAGCCCGGAGGCCGCGGCTGCCCCCTAAGCTGACGGCTCTTGTGAAATCGTGTCAATAACCCAGTCCAGAACCTCTGGAGATCCACAGCTGCAGGCGGAGGCTGACGTGCTTTGCCAAGGGGCTGGGGAGCCTGGACCACCTGGCTGGCTCATCACTTCTGCTGCGGGTGGGATCGCATGTGTTTCCATTGTAAGAAATCACAGGCTCACCGTGGGGTCCATGTCCTTGTCACTAGCAGGCTGTGTTCTCAGAGGAGCCAGAGGAGGGGATTATGGGGTGTGAAGACCAAGAGCTTACCCTCTGCCCCAAGCTGCACAACTCTCCTCCTCTCAGAAGGTCCTCGAGTCACCCTCTGCCTTCTCATAAGCTCATCCAACGCCCCAAGGAGCCCTCAAAAGGCTCTTCTCCCATTTAAGATCTTCTCATCCACTCCCTGGGCTTCCCTGGTGGCTTTGAGGTAAAGAATCTGCTTGCCGATGCAGGAGACTTGAGTTCGATTCCTGGCTTAGGAAGATTCCCTGGAGGAGGGCATGGCTACCCACTCCAGTATTCTTGCCTGGGAAATCCCAGAGGAGCCTGGGATTGTCCTCCTGGACAGAGGAGCCTGGTGGGCTACAGTCTATGGGGTTGCAAAGAGTTGGTCACAACTGAGCAACTAAACAACAGCTACACGTCCACTCTCTAAGGCCACTCTGATCAAGGACCAGGAAAGCCTGTGTTTCTTAGGCTGCTTCCTCACTCACTCTCGACCTCCCCATGATGCTTGCTGCCTTCTCCCACCAACCGCTGCCCACGGCTCCTTAAAGCCGTGACTGGTGAAGCCCGGTCCCTCTCTGAAGCCCGGTCCCTCGGTGCCTCCGTCCAGCAATGGGAGGGAGCAGGGTAACTCGGGTTTTGAGGATTCTTTGCCCCTCCCTAGCATGGTGAGCTCTCGAAGGCCTCTGCATGTTCTTCCCTCCAAGTTTCCTCAACAAGCAGGTGAGCATGTCTGATCCCAAGTGATACTTGAATCCCTACAGAGCAGTTTTATTTAGGACGCTGCCTATCTGATATTTGTAACTCAGTCAAACTGAACACACTAAACAGTGACCAGAGTCTCTCCAAATCCACCCACCAGCAGGCAATCATTAGTCAGACGTCGTCATGACTCCCCTCTGTGCAAGACTCCCCATCACGCCTCTGCTCTTCAAGCATCATCTCTACTCAGGCTACCCAGCGCTGCTTTTGTTTTCCCTCTCTCCCTAAATTCCAGAACTAAATGCAGCTCAATTCAGCTGGAGTCCTGGATACTGCCCCAAGGGCCACATCTCCTAACCAAATCCCCCTCCCTCGCCCCAGAGCACGATTTCCCTCTGGCTTCTTCCAGGCTGACAGCAAAGTCACCTGGTCATTTTCTCTCTTCAGCTCCAAGGTCAGATCCAGAAGCCCTATTCTTAAGACTAAAGAAGCGGGCCCAGAACTTCTGCCTTCTGCTCGTTTTTCCCTCAGCCCCTGTTCACCCCTCCACTCCTCTCCCAACCTCAGTGAAGGATCAAAGTCCTCTGTCGCTTTACCCTCCCACCCACCCCACGCCCTACCCTGCACTGGTTCTTCCTCTCCCATCCCCCTCATCCCCTCTTTTCCAACATTTCAAGAAGCTGTGCTGGTTTGCAGCTTGCAGAACATCAGAGTCTGATAACAAAAACCATCTTGGTGGTGGAAGCAGAGAAAAAGCCTGAAAGGTTAACTATTACAATGAGTACGCACTGCTTTTCTGATCATAACAACCAATGTGGAAAATAAACAGAAGCAATGATCCCCACTTCTCCATTGAAGCCAATCTTGAAAATGCCTGACAATGCTGCTATCACTTTTCTGGAAAGTTCTGAACACAGTACTCATGTGTGTCCTGTTTTGCCTGTTGTCACGCAGGACATTTCCACCAGCTGCTCCTGTGGCCATGTCACAGTGGTCACACTAACCTGTGAGCCTCCTGCATGCCTGTTCTTTGGGAGTTGGGGCTGGGAGGGGGATGGGTCCCCTTGAGAGTCACGTGACTTGGGCTGTTGGTTTCTGGAGGGTAAGGAACATGCCAGGCTTATTACCAGACACCGGAGCATCCTCAGAAAGCTTCTTGGTGACGTCACCTCACTTCCGGTGAGCACTATCACTTTTTCTTGATGCTAAAAGTGATATACCTTGGACGTACTTCCACCCTCAGTGATCAAAGGGGAATTCGAGAGCAGCTAAATGGGAAGAAGGCTTGATTTTTCCACCCCTTTTAATAAAGCAAAATGTATCACTTCCCCTGTCCACAGAAAAGCAGGAGTCAGGAGCTCATGAAGTCAGAAAAAGCGGTTTAGCTTTTGCTGAAGTGTGGTCCAATGCGGTCTCTGAATGCGCTCTTGAACAAACTTGCGGTGCAGAAGCGGGATGGGCCCTCAGCTGTCACGGTCCTGATTTCATTGTTTGGTGTGTTGTGTTGGTAGCCCCGTCCATGCCACATACTAGCAACAGGAATTCAAACGTCCGCTGGCTGCATGTGGTGAAGCCACATCAATCCTCCATCATCAGTGTCGCTTCTGGGTCACCTTTGCCACTTCCAGATCTGTCCTTCAGGTGGCTTCAGGGTATTACAGAAACTCACCTCTGAGCCAGCTCGGTCCATGGTCAGTGATTCTGGAAGTCCTCTCTAGGATGTGGCATGGGTGTTCCCCAAATGTCATAAGACATCACTGCTGAATTACAAGGAGAGGTTCGGGAGACAGTCACGTGGAGGACGGAGCGCTAGCACTCAGCTGGGGGTCTGCGGGTCTACCGATGTCCGGCCCACATCTTACCTCTCTGCCTCGTCCATTTCCAGCCTGGTGAAGCTGTAGCTCACTAAACAGTATATCCTCAGCGGCTACACACACCACTCACTTCAACCCACTCACCCAACAGGAAACAGGCATCCTCGTGAAAAAACACGCCCTGTGAGTCACTGAGCCGGAATCTTACTGAGCAGATCACTGTGATGTTGGTACAAGCTACGGGCTGGGTCTCCGTCTCCTCCCCTCCCCCCAGATTCTTAGGTGGAAGTCCTAACCCCCAGGAGTTTGTGTGACTGTATCCCGAGACAGGGCCTTCAAAGGGGCACTGACTTTAACACGAGGTCATGAGGGCGGGCCTGGATCCAACATGACCTTACGAGAACAGACCATTTGGGCCCATGGAGATGCCAGGGGTGCGCTCATACAGAAGAAAGGCCGCCTGAGGACACGGAAAGAAAATGGCTATTCCTACCAAGAAGCAGAGTCGAGATTTAAACTCAGACTCTTTGGCCTTAAAAGTAGCCACTGCACTGAGACACCCTTCAGATTTGGTCTTAGAAGGGGCTGGGCACCCTGGGAGTGAAGGATCTAAGCCTTTCTTGGAGAGAACCCATGGGTATCTGAGAGAGGCCCCTGATAAAGGAGCTGAAAACCAAATCCAAGTTTTCCTCTACCTTCCTCAGGAAAGGAACATGCAAGCCACAAAGAAAGAGGCAACCACCAGAATTAGCTGAGATCACTCTCCTCCTGTTAAGTGACCACTCTTCAGAGGCCTGACTTTCCTCCTGTTAAGTGATCACTCTTCAAAGGCCCGATTCTCACTCTTCAAAGGCCCGATTCTCACTCTTCAAAGGCCTGACTCTCACTCTTCAAAGACCTGGCTCCCCTCCTGTTAAGTGATCACTCTTCAAAGCCCTGGCTCCCCTCCTGTTAAGTGATCACTCTTCAAAGGCCTGACTCTCACTCTTCAAAGGTCTGACTCCCCTCCTGTTAAGTGATCTCTCTTCAAAGGCCTGGCTCCCCTCCTGTTAAGTGATCACTCTTCAAAGGCCTGATTCTCACTCTTCAAAGGCCCGATTCTCACTCTTCAAAGGCCTGACTCTCACTCTTCAAAGGCCTGACTCCCCTCCTGTCAAGTGATCCTTCTTCAAGGCCTGACTCCCCTCCTGTCAAGTGATCCCTCTTCAAGGCCTGACTCCCCTCCTGTCAAGTGATCCCTCTTCAAGGCCTGACTCCCCTCCGGTTAAGTGATCACTCTTCAAGGCCTGACTCCCCTCCTGTCAAGTGATCACTCTTCAAAGTCCTGAATCCCCTCCTGTTAAGTGATCCCTCTTCAAGGCCTGACTCCCCTCCTGTTAAGTGATCACTCTTCAAGGCCTGAATCCCCTCCTGTTAAGTGATCCCTCTTCAAGGCCTGACTCATTACAGAGGGAAGGGGTGCAGGGCTTTCCCTCCGCAGCGGCTCACTTGGCAGGTTTCTGTCTGGCCCGAGGTCAACCCCAAAGTCAACACCGAGGTCAACCCCAAAGTCAACATATGACCCTGGCCGAGACCCAAGCCCACACTGTGCTCAGCCTGTGTGTGTTTATGACTCCTCCCACTTACAGCTCCATCACCTGCATCCCAGAGATCAGGCTGGAGACTGCTAAACACTCCTTGTTCAGCCGTGTCTAGTTCCAGGCAGTGACCTTCGTGTCTTGCGTGTTTTTCCTGGTGTAGACTATGAGGGGTGGGGGTTGCAGCCCTCCATTGGGTGACCTGATTCCAGCCCCAGCAGCTGGGAGGTCACTAAGTCAGGGCCTCCTGGGGGGCACCCCCTGAGAAGGGCTTGGGTCAGGGGTCTTGGGGCTCTGATCAACAGACTAGGGATCTAAGGTTTCTAGAAAGAGGATGTCCATACCTCAAGACCAACGAAACACAGCATGATGGGCAGAAGTCTCAGTTGGACATCTTTGACCGGGGAGGCCCTTAAACCCAGCACGGTCACGCTCTGGTGGCTGACATATTGTTGCGGTCAGAGTTAAGGCTTCGGTACTTATAAGGCCTGCGGGGCTCCT